ATGCCTGCTTGCTTTTGGCTCCCATTTCACAGAAAGATGTTATCCATCTTTTGATATATAGTTTATCAATTTTTTGGAATACACATGTTTCTCATATACAGTATAACACTGTTTTTTTCCTAATCTGTCAATCTGTATCCGTTGGTTTAGAATTGAGACCATGCACATGCAGAGTTATTACTGAAAGGTATTAACTTATCCCTGTCATTACATTACCTTCCTGTTGTTGTCCCCGCTCTCCCCCAACCCCACCTAAAACTGCTCACCTTTTCTGCTATATTCATCCCACCAGAATTTTTTGGACAGTGTTTACTTTCTCCATCTATAATGTCCTTGAGAATTTTTTGGCATGCTGGTCATTCTTAAGGTTCTCTTTGTCATGGAAAAATCCTATTTTTCCATCATTTTTGAAAAATAGTTTTGCGGGGTATGTTAGTCTTGGTTGCAAGAACCAAGTCTTGGTTCTTTTAGGTCTTGAACATTACATCTTAGATTAGTCTTTGTGTCATCTAGCAGCCATTGGGATCATTTTCCATGATCTTGTGTTGTTTCAAGGCACTTCTGAGTATACCATCCCCTGCATCATCCTTATTTTCTAGATTTGTTACTCACTCTTTATATCAGTCACTTCCAGGGCCTATGCTTTCAATAGATTTTTGTTTTAAATCTATTGGCTTTCTGTTTGATACATTTTCATGGTCTCTAATTCTTTAAATTGTTCATTCTGTTTTGCTCAGTTCAGTTAGTTTTATATTAATGTCTTCTTTAAGCTTGCTGATCATTTTGTGTAGTGAAAAGAGTTCTTTATCTTGTCGCACCATGTACTTCAGCCATTTATTTTTGATTTCCTCCTTACTGATGCCCTGTGTGCCAGCTCTGGGGAAGTTAGGAGTTTTGGAGACATTTTATGGCCTTGTTTTTTTGTGCTTCTGTTGTTTGTGTGCTGAAGGTGTAGTGTCATTTAGAGTGAAAAGACTTTGTTACCTAGTATAGAAATCTCTTTAGTTAGTGTCTGCCTTCCAGTGATGTTATGTTGGCTTTGATTTTTGTTTTGGTATGTATCTACCTCTTTAACCTACTCAGTTTACTAGGAATGGGCTTCATCATGTTGTTGCAAATGAGAGACTCTCTGCTGGTCATAACAATGTCAACAGATCTGCCCATACATAACTCATGTACATTAAAACTTTTCCCCCATATTTTATACTTTTATTCATGCCTATACAGTTGTACTATATTTCTACGAATAAGAGGAGTGGGGTATGAAGGCGGGGTAAGAAAGAGAGAAGAGGAAAAGAAGTGAGTTAGTAAAAAGAGGAGAGAGGATAAATATCAATATATAAAAAATAAACAGGAGATCTGACTCATTGGAATTGTTTTTTTATAGCTGGAGTAAAGGGCTACTATAGTGTGTTTGAGTGAATATTTGTGGAAGAAGGTGGAGAAGGGGACCTAGGGAGAGGGAAGTGTAGTTGGAGACGGGGAAGTTGTGAGAATGTCAGAACCTGTTAAAATACTGGTAGTTAGCTTATGTTGGATCCTCTCTGCACAGTTGTGATGGTTACCTTGACTTGTCTATGAAAGTTACTCTTTAAATTAATGCACTTGTTAATTCTAATTCTTATTTGCACAAATACCAAGGGTGATCTGCCTGAATACCGTGGGCTATGGCAATGATCCAAACTGAGGCAGGTCCCTGATCACGCTGCCAAGTGGGGAAAGCAAACCGGCTGTGGGCAGGTTGTAGGTGAATCAAGCGCTCTGCTGTACTTCTGCCAGCACTTGCACCTAGCTCCATCCAAAAACCATACTTGGCTCCTGAACACAGAGGATGGGACCCTCCTGTGTTCCTGGCCTGGCCTGGGTCTGGAAGTCTCAAACTTCCAAGAGTGGTCCACGTTTAGCCTGTGCCCTCTCTGCAGCCGTCGCTTGTGGTCATCTCCCAGCCAGTTCCTGTGGGAGGATGACCCTGGAAACCCTAAAGTGTGATTGTTTTGTGGCTTTTAATTCCCAGAGTAGTTCAGTCTTAAACAATTAACTCCTTCCTAAAATGATTCCTGATTAATCATTCTCAAGTATAGTGGGCATGGCACTGGATTTCTTCTCTACCTTTAGTCTGCCATGTGTCAAGGGTCACTTTCAGAGTCAAACCCCACACTATATTTGCTGTTTACAATAACTGTGGACTTTTCTGGGGGCCAACACTGCCATTCTTCCTCTCTGGGACTGCTGACCTGCTCTGTGCTTACTCTATGTTTGTAGAGACAGGTCTCCCTTCACGGGGAGCTTGGATTAGCATTCCAGGCTGCTGTCTTCTTTCCCTTCCATTGCCTTTAGTTATTCTAACATCTCTGTGATTTCTAGTTTTCCTGTTGGCTTTTTCTTAATTCCTGGAGCTTTTCTCCCATTTCTCTTTGCTCAATTGTTTTCCAAGTGTTGACAGTCCTGGTCCTAGAGGCTGTAACATGCTGATGAATTTTATGTTGCCATCTTCCTAACTCTAGAATTGTTGTTTTTAATTTAAACCTTTTTTAATTTTAGTGAGGTACATTTTTTAAATTAGAAGCATTTGCATTTTTCTATGAATTGTTATTCTTATTGCTTGTCTTTATAGTTATATTTTTAAGGTTAAATTTTTGTGGTGCTCAGGATGAAACCCAGGGCCTTGTTTATCCTGGAAGGTACTCTACCACTAAGCCAAATCCCCAACCCTTTATTTACATTCTTTCAGAAGCTCTTCTATGTTAAATATATTAACCCTTTCTCTTTTATATGTCACATTTTAAAAATTGTATTTATTTATTTTATTTTTTTTGCTTTTTGGTGTTCATTGTCATGCGAAGAATTTTTAAAAATTTGTGTATATATATATGCTTTTTTCCCCCCCTTGAGACAGGGTCTTACTGTATAGCTCAGATTGGTCTTGAACTCAGTATGTAGCCCAGCCTGGCTTTGGATTAATGGGAATCTACTTGACTCAGCCTCCTGATGCTGGCACTACAGGCATGTGCCACCATGCCTGGCCAGATAAAGAAGTGTTAACATCATTGTCTGTCTTTTTATAGTCACTTCTGCTTCTCATCTACATGTGAGGGAAGTTTCAAAAAAATTCCCTGGTTTTAGAGTAATTCATCTATGCTTTATTCTAGATGATTCCTTTTTTTAATATTTAAATATCTGATCTACTTGAAATTTATAAAGGTGTATGGTATAATGAATGGGTATTTTGCCATATTCAGTCAGACTTTAGACCAGAACTGGGTGGGAGCTGCCAGGTCAAGGCTTATCTGTAAGTGATGATCAAAAATATGGTGAACTGTGAAATTTATTAAAGACAAATTGCCATCATTCCTCCTCAAAATATCTCTCTTAAAACATACTTGTCCCATCATTCTTGCAGCTTTCTGAAGCAGGCTTGGAAGTTCTGTTTGTTGAGTGTCTTTACAAGGTAAGATGAAAAATGCAGTGAACACTGCTGTGGAATGCCATCGATGGAAAGTCAAGCTTGCGTAAATGTGGTCTTTGTCTTCATCACCTTTATTCACAGGGGATGGAAACGCGTGACTTCGGGCTTTTCCCCAGAGTCAAGGTAAACATTTTGATTCTATTTAGGACACTGAGATAGTCACGACAGCGCAACTGAAGACATACAAAAGGTGGCTTTTAAAATACCACATGATGGGATAATTAGCTTCCTGGTGGCTTAGGCTAATTGCTGTGGGTTTCTGGTCTGAGTGTGGTTGGGAAACAAATGGGAAAATATTCAAGACAGAAGAAATACAGCGGAAGACTCAGAAAAGTAATTTATGAGCTGGATGCAGTGGTACATGCCTGTAATACCAGTGCTCTGGGAAGACGAGGAGGTAGGAGGATTGGAAATTCAAGCCTATTCTGGGCAACTTAGTAAGCCCTTGTACCAAAATTTAAATAAGGGCTGGGATGTAGCTCAGAGAAAGTTGGGTTCAATCTCCAGTACCAGAAAAGAACAAAACAAAACAAAAAGTTATTTATGGGAAATGTTAAGACTTGTTTTCAGTATATATTTAAGTAACTTGGTACCATTTTGAGACAAACAGGGTTCAGAGCTCTCTAACAGATCTCTGCATTTAGTTTCCTTCCTTGGACTGGACAATTGCAGCCATGAACTTGGGGGAAGGGATGTGATATGAGGAGGCTAGACTAAGATTTCCAAATCCATGCTGGTAATCAGTACACAGGTCAAAGTGTAGTGCTGAGATTGGGGTTCAGGTCCCCACTGGCCAGTCTCCAGAAACTGTGGTCTCAAACACATGCCTTAAAGAATTAAAGACTAAATTATTAGAAGTGTAAATCAAGATGGGAAAGAAAAGGTTCTCATAGCCCACATCAGGTTTGGGAAATCTACTGTGGACACTGAGTCTCATGAGCCCCCCATCATTCTCCCTACATTCCTTTGCCTTGTGACCAAAGAAGAAAGGGACCTCACATTCTAAAGATACTGGAGAATTCACCTGCAAATATCCAAGGTCCTTTGGAACAACAGTAAGTTCCACGATGAAGTCACATTGCTGTATTGGGAGCCACAGTCATAACACAGGAGACTGTGTTGAACCCCCAGGAGAGGGGGTTCAATACTGAAGGAGGGTACATTCTTGGAAATCCACTGAGGGGGTCTAATTCAATTACTGCTCACGCTGTGGTGCTCCTGGTTATGTAGAACTTTGAATAATCTTGGTGTGCGAGGCCTGGCGTGTCTGAACTGGGCTGTGGTGAGATGCACTGCTTCCTTAGCCGTGGGAGAGGATGACTTTCCTCCTGACCGCTGAAAATAGAGGCACCTGGTACATGTGGGTCAGGTGATGCTTTTCTCCTCCTGGATGAGGGTGGTTGAGAAGAGAGGTAAGGGTCTATCAGCTGGAGAGGAGGTCGAGGAATTCCAGCTCAGTGCGAAAAGGTGGTTGCGGGGCGGGGTGGTGGTCGTGGTGGTGGTGTCATCAGTTCAGGAAGTGACACCTGAGCAGATTCCTGTGCGGACAGAGCCCCCACTGGCTTCCAAGGAGGGAGCTCTCAGGAAGGAGCACGGAGGAGGGGTGGCTGGTGGAAAGCTGCTGGGGTGAAAACCTTGTTACTTTGACTGTGAGTCTGTAGGTCATCCATCTACTTAGTGGATGTAGGTCACAGCTGCCAGGTCACTGTTCCTCTCTGGTAAGTAGAGCACTGTTGGGAACAAGTTCAGTATCTGCAACTGGGGTCTGCAGAGGGTGGCAGTTAAATGCTTGGATTTTTATCTATTTTGTTTTTAGCCAGGCTTAGATTAAGACCCTAGAGAATTTATTTTTTCCTTATTCCTTAATGTATTTGTAAAGCAATAAAAATAACTACCTTCCAGTGTTGTGAAGATGGAATGAGAAAATACAGGCAGCAATTATGAAAGTGCTCAGCGCAGAGTAAGCATTTAAACCAGTACTCGCCTTGGCTTCACAATGGAGCCAAGGGGAAGTTAAAGACAGTGTCTCCAAAAACCAAATGAAAGCCCCTGGGCTAAAAACTTGTTTCTTTTCCTCTTTTTTTGGGTCTATTTTGTTTTTATCAGTACCAGGGATCAAACTCACAACTGCCTGCTTGCAAGGCAGGTGCTTATGCTGCTGAGCTAAATCCCCAGCCTCCTAAAAAGCTTGTTATTTGTACTCAGGAAACTTGTAAGTGTTAGAAAAGGTGCTGGAGTTTGGTTAACTTTTAGCCAAGTCTTGTGTTGTTAACTACCATGGGTCTTTGTTTCTTTCTTTTTTTCTTAACATGGTAGTTTAGAAAAGGCCCAGCTGTCTCTCTTTTGTAAATCTGGATGGATATAATCCTGGCTGTATTAAATTTCCTTTGTTTTTCATAACATGAACAGAATTGGGAAGATCTGGGAAACAAAACAAAACAAAATGACTCCTGGAGCCCTTCCTCACTGAGAAGCCAGTCAGTGTAACCAGGTTTAAGCCAGGAGAAGGGGCTAACTGGGACTCCAGTAATGTAACTAGGCCTCCCCAGGCTCTTTTATAAAGGGATCTGCGAGCTGGCTTTCCTCTTAGGTCCTCTGCTTGTTGGGCTGCGACTCAGACCTTCTTTGGCAGGAGATTCAGTGGCTTGAATTTGTGAAACTTCAGTTTGTGTTTCCTCATATAGCAATGGAAAATTTCAGTTTAACATAACATGGTTTTTCCAGAAATTCTCCTGGATTGTTCCTTGGACCAGGCTTAACATCCTTAGTGGGAAGACCCAAGGGAGAAAGGCCTGGCTTCCTTGTCTTCTGAGTTATGAGGTTTAGTCGCAGAGAAAGAAATCCCCGCTTGGAGTAAAGGGTTTATTTAGGTTGAACGGCCTGATTCAAACACTAGCAGGAACACATACTATTGATTTCTCCTTATCTTACAAGGGGTTATTGGAAGATATGGTGAATATTTAAATTGTAAAAAGCCTTTTACATTGCCAACAGTAATGGGATAAGTGTATTTCAAGTCAGTGGGAGTATTCTGAGGGGGATTAATAGCAATGTATCTTTAATACATTTTTAATTTAAACACTTACAAACATTTTTGTCATACTGAATAGTGCTTAGAGCAAAGATAATCTTCACGTCCCAAAATGTTTCTATGTGCATTTGAAAAAGTGAAACTCTACCGGCACAGAGAAAAAAAGAAAAGAAAAAAGTTTTCTTACACATTCTTCATGTCTCGGCTGAGGGGTGCTCCAGGGGTGTCTCAGCTCTCAATATAGTGCTAGATGAGTGCAAGAAGACCTGGGGTTCTGGAGGTGTTGTAGGAGCTTGGGAGGTGCTGTAGGAGCTTGGAAGGAAAGCTGAGCCCTGAGCCGAGCGCTCAGCCCCACAGGTCTCAGAGGATGCTGGTGCTATGGCCTATGCCAGGGCTTCCTGCCCTGACTGCTAGGTCCTCTGGTCTTGGATGTGACTGAAGCTCGACTGTGATCTGGACCCAGGGAAAGGCCTGGACAGGGGCTCAGTCAGGGACTCAGTTCCTGTCACTGCCAGCTCTCATGCTCTGAATGTACGGCCAGCTGGCTCAAGAATGAAGCTCCAGGTATTTGGAATGCAGAATTAGCTGCCTTCCTGTTTTATGAGGTCTCTGGGGTAGGTGCCACCTGGCCCTAACTGTATTTACAAGTCTGTCTGCTTTCCCACAATCAGGCCTGAGAGCTGGCACCTACTGCTAAAGTGCTGACCCCAGCTCTTCACCTCTTCTTGGCCTTCACAACACTGGCTAAGATGGGAGAGGGTTTGGGCAGGAGGTTGGCTGGGGCAGCATGGGGGCGGCAGCATCCTGTGAATCAGGACCCATAAGCCAGCTTTGTCTCCAGCATCTGCACTAAGCCTGCTGTCCTTTGCTTCTCTCCTCCTGCACCTGTTTGTCTCCTTCATCCGCAGGCTGCTGCCTTGGGTCTGGCTGCGTCTGCCCCTGGCTCAGGCCCTTGAGCTCCTGCGGGTTTTTCAGTCCTCTGTCTCTGGATTGGAGTCTTTGGCTCTGTTCTCCAGCATATTCATGGAGTTACGCTGCACCTTTTCCTCCGTCTCCACAATACCACCTTTTCCTCTTCTGGCAGCTTCTCAGCCCAGAAGTTATAACTTGGTACTCTGTGGTGTTGTCTGTCTTGAATGTGACTTCTGGCAGGCAGCAAGTGCTTTAGATGGACAATGAGGAGACGGGCAGGCCAGGTGGATCTGCTTCCTTTGCCAGCACTGAATTTCTTTCCATCAGCTGCTTCAGGTACTGCAGAGCCTTGGAAGTTTGAGTTCAGGGATCTCTGACCAGGCAAGGTCTGGCCGGTAGTATTTGTTTAAAACTTTTCTGACCTCTTTGCCTCCTCCTGGTCTCATAAGCACTAGTGAGTCTCTAACTGAATCTTGTCTCAGTTCATAGCATTGTTGAAGCACAAGGGTTCCTAATTTCAATGAAGTCCAACTTACTTGTTTTTTTTCTTATCGTTTGTATTTTTGGTGTTATGGCTCACAAATCATTTCCAAGTCCAAAATGAGAAAGATTTTTCCTTTGCCATATGCTTGTATAATGCATATCTTTGATGCAGTTTAATTTTTCTGAATAGTTGTGAGATAGAAATGCAATTTCATTCCTGTGGCTATATACCCTACCATTTGTTGAAAAGACTTAAGGGCAAAATTTCCAGAGGTACTCAGTGCTTTGGTGGCTTTAGTGAGAGATCCATAGATGGAGAAGGGAGATGATTATTTACTGAGAGCGTCACAGAGTACTTCCAAGCAAGAGTGACAAAACACATGCACCTGCATGCATGTCTACCTCTGTTTACTCAGGAGAAAGACTACTTATGAATTACAGCACAGTGTCTGGGTAATCTGTGAGTCTTCCAGGGCTTGCATAAAGGTGTAGTGTCCCAAGAGAAGCATGTTTTGGAGGAATTAGAACAGTACATGAGACATTTGGGTAGATCTGCACACTAGGTAGTTGGACATGGAAGACTAGAGCCCTGACCAGAGGTGAGATCTGGCTGGAGAGAGACTTGACTCTGGCATGTGGATGGAGGCCATCTCCCAGTGTGAGTGACAACATAATCTGGCATTTGGGGACCCATGGAGCCTGTCTTAGTTACTTTTCTCTTGTTGCTGAGACAAAATGCCTGGAGAAAAGTTTATTTAGCTTACAGGGGATAGAGGTTGCAGTCCATAATTGGCTGGATCCAAGGCAGGGTGGTGAGCAGAGGGGCGTCTCAGAGAAGAAACAGCTCATTGCAGCAGAAGACAGCAAGCGCAAACAAGCAATGGGAGAGACAAGCCTCTTTCTGTTCCTTATGTGGCATCCAATTTACCAAGATCGGGCTGGTGCCAATCTAATCAGGGGAGTGATACAACAATCACCCACTTTTAATCTCAGTATTCAATCTCAGCACTGTACACTTTAGATTCAGTCATCTTTGAAAAAGTCCCATGACTGCATGAGGCTTTGTGGGGCTATCTAGACACAAACCATGACAGAGCCCATGTGTAGGTGTGCAAGGGGTTGGCTTGAGAGGTAGAAGAAAAACCAGGGCACAATAATGGTGAGGAAGCCAGGATGTCAAGACTGATTCAAGGCAAGCTGTGGGTGGCATTGAATGCCGTGAAAGGCTGATAAGGTGCCAACTGGAAAGTGTCCTTTAGTTATCATGAGAAGGTGGTGGGTCACCTTGGGGAATGTGGTTTCAGTGAGCCAACAGAGGTGGAAGTTAGATGCAGCGTGTGTGAGGTGAAGAAAGCCTTGGCTGGTACAGACACAGAGATGGGAAACCAACAAGATTATTATCATTCCCTAGAATTTAAAGATAACCCAAGGTCAAATGAAAAGTTCAGCTGATTTTGAGAAAAATTGCCTGGGGAAGATGTGAATGTTCGTGTCTGCCAGATCTACCTGGTATGTTCAGCATCAGGCCACCTGCATTATTGCCTGAGACATTCTTCAGAAACAGAGCTCATGAGCTGGTGAAAAATTAATCTCAAGTATAGGCCTTGCTAAAGAATATTTATGGGCAGATAAATACAGAATTCTGAGGCTAATTTTTTTGTAGAAGTCCATGTTATCCTGCATCAGAAATCCAGGTTAGAAGCCCAGCAATCATGTGCTCAGTGGGCAGCTGGTGATGAGAATACTTACTCTCTAATCTCTTCATGTGTTCTCCATCAGTCTCATGTCATGGGGCCATGGCTGATGGCAGTTGCTTGGAGAAACCATCAAAACTACTACTAATTGGGTCCACTCTTGTCAGAGCAAACAGTGGACAAAAAAATCTTTCCTAATTTCAAGGTTCTTTGTTGAGTACTTTTAGGAAGAGTGCAAAGTGGCTATCAGCTAGGATTTTGAAATAGCATTATACACGGTTCAGTGTTTTTTACTGGGACCTTCTGATTTATTTTGTTTTCTAAGTTTTAGCTCTTTTAATGGTTTCATAAAGCAATTTGGTTTAGAAAATTGCCAAAACAGAAACAACTGATAAAAAAGCCATTGAACAAACTAAATATTCAAATCCAAACAAACCAGAAACAGAAACATAATAGCTACATGAAAGTGTGTAGTGTTTTGGTTAAATTTATCAAAAAATAAACTCTTTCCTTGTCAGGCACAGTAATTAGGGAAGATTCTGTCTCAGCCTAAAGTTCCAAGTAGCAGAAAGTTACTTTCACTTCATTCTATTAAATACATGCAGAACAAAACATGTGAACTCTTAGTTGGAGCATGTGCAGAATCATACACTTGATTGGGTTTTCAACATCCTTGATTGAACCTATATGTAAAACTGACAATTTAGAGCCATTCAATTAAGTAACTGAAGGGAGATCAATTCTAAGAAATATTACTAAGAACCAATGGAAGACAAAGGTTTTGCCATGATTAAGTTAATAAGTGTAGGGCTCATAGCAATTTAAAAGTGTCATATAATCCTGTTAGATAAGGCTTGTGCGCTGCTAGACTCCTGACAAAATGTTCTTCAAATATATATGTGGTATAATGGAAGTTCATATTAAATAAAAGTGCATAAAATATAAATTTCACTTGAGTTTTAAAAGATAAAATTAATAGAAATGTAACATGCTTTGAATTTTAAGAATAATTCCACAGATTCATAAAATTTTAGTCTGCATATCTATCCAGACTTTATCTCTTGCTAACTAGCCTTCTCCATAAATTAAACATCAATTATATATTTTCTAAGGCCAGTGTTGGAGGGATGGTTGAAATGTTATTATAGATAAGAGTACTACAATATTTTCACTCTTATGAAGCTGTTTAATTAAAACCCTTTTCCCAAGTCTTAACTGTTCACTTGTTTCCATCATAAAATTATCTTCATTGCTCTGAAAAAGAAAATCATTAATCTTTATCAACTATATTTTTCTTATGTTCCTTATTACTGAGTATTAAACTTCTGAGCTAGCATTCTCTCACTTTTGTATGTAGATGGATTCCTAAGAAGTGGTGGTGTTCACCCTGAAATTTGCATGCCCTTAATCTTTGGGTTTAATCTGGAAGAATGTGTAACCCATGGTAACAAATATAAAACAACTCTGAGAACCATGTGAACATTTATCCCAGAGGGTACAGGACAGAGTTTAATTCTGAAGTGCAATCACCTGTCCCCGCCTCTGATGGCTGATTTTGGTCTTTTCAGAGTTAAATCCACCTGATCTCTGAGTTAGAAGCCATGGCTAGAAGTGGTATAAAATGCACAGGGTGGCACAGGGAGGAGTGTAGCTGTCTCCCAGCAAGAATGGGCTTCCACAGCGGGACTTCGTCCCCGTGGAATTTTAATTTAGTAGGCTTAAAGTTATGTGAATTACCTGGACTTCACAACAGACCACTGATGGAGTTGTGATTTTTTTTGTCCCAAGTTGTATGACTTGGGCAAGATGTAAACCCTTTCTGTGCTTCTGTTCTCTACCTTTATGCTGGAATCTATCCATAGACATATCCTAAAGATTAACTGAAAAAAACATTTTAATAGATAAACTCATATGCCAGGAACATAGAAGTATAATGTTAATTAAAACACACCTAAAATGATACAAATATGCACTTTGTATCTTAAAAACCTTATGTGGACTCAAGATCCTTTTAACATTTATTAAGAGGCTTCCAGAAAAGTTGCAAGCTCCTTTCAGAGCAATGTCGTGAGAAGAGATGCTCTTGACTTTAGGAAGTGAAACTGAAGTGGGTTGATTTGGTACAACGGGGTTATGGGAGGGCAGGTGGTGAGAATTTGAAAAGTTCTTAGCCTCGCTGACCCCATTTTCCTAAACTGAGGAGTGCTGGCTGTGGGGGAAAGATCAAAGGACCTCCTGGGACCGATGGTCCACTGGGCATGCTGACCACTGACGTGCAATGGGTTGGTTTTACATTTTCTGTCCCCATAACGAACAAGGTCTTTTCTCATCAGTGGCTTAAAGCACATATGAAAGCTTCTCATGGGACCTGGGAAGGCACGAGGAGAGCAGACTAGCTTTGTACTTGCATTGAGCTGATTGCACCAGAGAGCAAAGGAAGGGTCCAGGCCAGCTGGGGAGAAGCCCAGA